CACACAAAGGGTCCCGTGGAGGTGGGGCACTGCTATCAAACAACAAACAAGGGTACTTTATCGTGAGGGTTAGAGGAGCTGGTGAAGGTGAGCCCTCGCCACTGATGGCGGCTGATCTTGAGTGACACTGGGTTCAAACTTGGGATTTGCCATTACGTGGGTAGTGATGGAATTGTAACAGGGTGTCCCCAGGAAAAGGGGAAGTTCCAGGTTCCCTGCCCCACCCAGGAGGAGGGTGGAGCTGAGCAGAGAAGAGAAGGAATCTAAAGAAGGAAGTAGGATGGAGAGCCAGAAGGAGACCTGAGGAAGCCACACAGAGCAGAGAGACTTGTGAAGAAATCGTGCTTACTTCCTGGTCCTAGGCTGGTTGAAAGATGTGGGTGAGAGACCTGTGGGGAGGTGACTACGGCAGTGTTTATCTTGATTTTGATTTTGTTCTTTTCCTCCCACACTTGTCTGGCCATTTCTGACCCTTTTCTATGGGTCCTGGCCAGAAGGTGCTTTAGTCTTGCGGTGGGCTTTCAGGCCTTGCTTTGGGCCAATCCCTTTTGGGTTGACTTTTGCCCACGAGGGGATGGGTAACTTCAGGTGTCTGACTTAGAAATTATATTGTCTTAAGTTCCTTTTCATTTAAGTCTTATATGCCTTGTCTTGATGCGGTGGGTGGTAGAACCTATTTAGAGCAGGCAGGTTTGAGGGAGGGTTCAGGGGTGTCCCTCTCTCCCTGCCCCTCTTGACTCTGTACCACCGCCCCTCCCAAGCTCTCTCTTGACTTTGCTGGGCACTCTGGTTCACTGGTTGTGCTGCATATTCTCCTAGGGTCATTTCACTTTCAAGAGTGCTCTGGGAAATGCTTCATGGAAAAGAATGAACACTTTGGAGCTAGTTAACTGTGCCCAGGTTTCTTAACCTGGTGTCTGTGACTGGATTTCTGGGGGTGGGGGATGGGGAGCCAGCTTTGGTGTGAACTCCCCAGGACCAGACAAATCAATGGACACCTAGGAGCTGAGCTCTCACTGAGGTCCCATCTCCTGTTAATGGTAGAATTTCTGACATCAAAGCAGGGCAGGAGGGAGAGGTGGGAGAGGGTGGTGGTTGGAGAGGGGGAAGAAATGTTGATCTTTGAGATCATTTCAGTGGGAGACAGATCCTACCACAGCTGCTTACCGGATGACCAGCATTAAGGTGACAAACCAAGTTTCCTTCCTATAGGGTGTATCTCTCTCAGACTTTCCTTTCTTGGCTACCTTGATGCTGGCTAGCCAGAGGCTAATATCTCCCAGGCAGCTGGTTCCTTTCACCTCCCATAAAGGGTCGTAATGATGGCACTCTGACTGGGAAGGGCACTCCTCCCCAGCTCTGCCTAGGACAGGAATCCAGCAAAGGGAATTGTAGGGATGGCAGCCAGAACAGGCACCCCAGGGAGTGTGAGAGGAGCCTCCCTTCCCGCTGCAGCTGGGGCCCCAGTAGCTCACCTCTGCTGGGCCAGGCTGCCAGCCAGCTCTCAGGGGAGGGACACACAGCCTCTTTCAGCCTCCTGTTAAAAAGATGGTAACCGATAGGGGTGCTGCCTGTCCCTGACAGGGGTGCTGCCTGTCTGCTCACACCTGCAAATAAAATCCTCACTTCAAACACAAAGTGGAGAAAATAGTGTCATGTTTACCATGCATGCTACAGGGACACTATCTATGACTAGCTCAAGAGTTATTTTTTGTAAATTGATAGTTTCTCGACTTGTAAACTTTGTGACTGTAACCAAACCTTGCTTCATCTTTCTACCTCTGTGTTTTTTTATTTTTTTAAGATTTATTGTTTAAAAAATAGGAGCAGTGTGTGTGTGTGTGAAAGGATTCGCCAGAGACAGAGTGGGGAGCAGAACAGGAAGGTCTACTGAGATACACTGCTGAGGGGAGGCAGGTGAGACAGGAGAGGTCTGCTGCGCCATGTGGGTCAGCTCCCCGGCTGAGGATCCAACTGGTGCTGCAGGGGCTGCTGATAGCTTCATAGTGCTGAGACTTACCCCTTGCATCACCAGGGAGGTCCCCAAAATTAATATTTTTGTAGACAGTTTTAGGCTCATAATTTTGAAGGGAAGGTACAAGATGTCCCCCCTGCACCCACGTGCACTGCCTCCTGCAAGGTCCACGTCCCCCACCATAGCGGCCATTCCTGACAACTGAGGGACCAGAACTGCCTCACGATTGCAAGTCCACTTTGTGCAAATGAACTACAGTGTACATTCCATGGATCCTGCCAAATGAGTAACAGCAGGTAGCCTCCGCCAGAGTGCCACCGAGCAGAGCCACTGTTGTAAGAGCCCTCTGCACTCAGTGTATTCACACGCCCTCCCCTGTAACGCCTGACAACTTCTAGTCTTATTTATTGTCTGCGTAGTTTTGTCTTCTCCAGCGTCCCACGTAGTTGGAATTATGCAGTAAGCAGACTTTGCGGACTGACTTCTTTCAGTTAGAAATATGCATTTAAGTTTCCTTCATGTCTTGGTAGCTCATTTGTTTTGTTTTGTTTTGTTTTTATTTTTTAGTGCTGAATAATATTCCATTGTCTGGATGTACCATAGTACTGCTGCCAGGTTTTGGCAATTATGAATAAGCTGCTATAAATATCCACAGGCAGGTTTGTATCTGTATGCATTTTCAACAACCTTTGGGTAAATAAAAATGCTAGTGAGCACAATTGCTGGATTGTGGTGAGAGGATACTCAGTTTTGGAAATTGCCTCCCAAAGTGTCTGTATCATTTTGCATCAACAGAGTGAGCATTTCTGTTGCCCCACACCCTTACTACCATCATTTGGTATGGTCAGTGTTTTAGAGGTCAGCCATGAAAAGAAGTAGATATCCCTGCATTTTTATTTTGATTTGAACAGAATATTTTAAAGCAAATTCTAAATAATGCCATTTCCCCTGTAGCTCTTTTAGTCTGTATCTCTGAGAATGACAGTTTTTAAACATGACTACTATCCTGTTAATAATACCTAATCACATTCACCATTTACAAATCTCACCTATTGACAAAATCGTATTTGAAAACATGTCTTTAACAACTGCGTCTGAATCATGATCCAAGCCAGTTCATTACTTTACACTGGACTCTGCCCTCTAAATTTCTTGTTAGTATCGGCAACTCCACCCTATTTTGCTGAGACACAAATTTACATCACTTGTTTCCGGTGTATGGCTTGTTGTATCCGCAACTGTACCTGTCACGCCGCCACCCAACGTCCAGTCTTGTCCAGCACCAGCCAGCCAGTGCCCCTTCCTGTGCCGGCCACCAGCCTCTCTCCTGCTGCTGCTCCCTCTCATAGCATTCTGTTGTCAGAGCTAAAGGCTTGTTTTGCTTTTTCTTTATTTGTTTTGCTTTTTTATATTCCACAAGTAAGTGTCCTGTCTTTCTCCCAGTAGCTTCCTCTACTCAC